GGAGCAGAAAGGTTTAAAACAAACAGCAGAAAACATCACCAATGTGACGTGTGTTTTGTTAAAGATGAATAGATGTTCAGGGTTCATCTCAGAAAGTGTTTTCTCTTTAAAATGCAAAAGCACTCTGTTAATATTAAAGATGAAAGATTTAAGGTCATGCTGTTGGAATAAAACAAAACAGCTTTTCGTTTTGTATCAGTGGAAAATTGTTTTAGTTAAAAACCTGTTTTTTTTTGCAACCTTAGCAAAGAGAAATTGTCCCATTCAGCTTTTAGGTTTGGATATAAAGAAGCAGTCGTATAAAAGAAGCTGTTTGTCTTTAGAAGTTTATCCTCTTCATTTATTTTTCTATTATTTTTCAATTCAGCCAAATTTCATGAAATGTGAAAACATATTTATCTCTGCACAAATTAGATAAAAACACCTGAGAGCTAAACTGTATTGATAAAACTTTTAAACATTTATCTCAGCTGTTTTGGCCGTGCCTTAGAAAGATGCTGCTGCACATTAATGATCTTTAAACTGTTGAATGCAGCAAAAACTGTTGCTTTAATGTAGCAGAAGGATTTTAAAGGCCACTCGAAACCTGAAAATCAGAGTGTTTGGTTCAACCAAGTGTATTCTTCCTTTATCAAATATACTGTTTGCTTTAGTTTTAGTTTTCAGACCACAAAAATGTCAATTTTTAAATTCAAAATGTGCACCCTTTCTAAAACTGATTTATTAAACATGGCACAATCTAGCAAACCTTTTCAAAGGTATTTTGGGAACTCTATACCTCCTTACCATTGGTCAATTCTTTATGGATCACAAAGATTACAGTTGATATTGCACGCATACTATATTTTTGTTCAGGCAAAAACATGGACAGCATGTTTGTAGATTTAAATTTAGGGGGGAAAAATGCTTCACAAGCTCTTTTGACTTTTAGCCCAAGTTTAAAAATTTTCACACCACATTGGAAGCGAATGTCAGTACAAAATGCCTTAGAATGAGTGAATAGCAGCATCTGTGACATTTTTAAGAAGAGATAAACCCATACATCAGGTAGCCGACATTTTGAGGCGTTATTAGGTTTTTTTTTCTTGTATCTACATCAGCTGATCCTGCATTTGTCGATTCATTAGCGGACATGCTCTCAGATCATGTGAAGCACGATCTGAAAGCTTCATTTGCTGACCATTATCAACGTACTTTTGTCGCCTTTGTTTCATTTCAGACTTAAGTATTGCTTATGGGTCATTATGATTCAAACGGGAGAAGAGGAGAAGGAAAAAGCAACATATAATGGATCAGATGGACTGATTGATATGATCTTAATAATCAGCATTGGTTGGTTTATTCCAGCTGGATCAGGTTTTTATCATTTATATCTCAGGAATTTAGCGTTTTCCCAGAAAACTACTGTAACAGGATGTAAACAGCTGCGAAAACGCCCAAATATGCAATTAAATGTTATAATTTCAGTATTGGATTTTAGGCTTATGGACCGACACAAGTTGGTGTGTATGGAAGGAGAATCATTTCGATTTAAACGGAGTTCATGGAAGTTTAAATCAGAGTTTAGAAAGGTTTGAAGGGCAGGCATATTTTTGCAAGTTAATGGTCCACTGTGTGTGTGTTTTTTTAAGGCTTTTAACAGTTTCTCGTTAAGTATTTAGCTACTGAATGTGTAAAAAAAAAAAAAAAAAAAAAGCACAAATTATGAAAAGCCGTTTTCTGGCAGCATATCAGTGGAAACTTTAAAGTGTATGAAAGCTTTCTGCTCAAAAAGAATATAACGCTGCACTCACAAAGATCCTCCTCCGTGATTTGTCAAGGTGACTGTAAGCTAACTTTTTCTTTTAAAAGTATCGTGGAGGATTTTTTAAAAGACTCGCCCTCTCCAATTTAACAAAAATGCACATGCAAGAGCATGCATGGGCATGCACAAGCCAATTTCTCCTCATGCAGGCCCTGTTTAAAATGTGCAGTTCTCATAGCTCATATAAGCTTACTGTGTCCACATACAGCAGGGACTATATAGCAAACTTAATTTATTGACGCTTCGGACAGATGATCTCTGCTTTTTGCTCGCTGCACCATCTTTATTAGTATTTTAAAAGAAAATTAGTATTTTAAAAGCAAAGTATAATATGTTATTTTTTTATTTTCTTCCTAGATTTTATTTGGAGTCAGGAGGAACCTGAAAACATGGGTCCCTGGTCTTTTGTGGCCCCCAGGTTCGAGAAGCAGCTGGCCTGCAAGGTAATGAGCATTGAGCAGATTTTAGGGTAAAGCTTTGTTCTTTCTGAAATGCCGTCTTTTACCGCCTCCTCTGTCGTCTTCAGCTCCGGTTAGTGAGTCGACCAGCGCTCCCCGCCCCAGCCGTCGGCATCGGGACGCTTCATCACCAGCAGCAGGAGGCCATCCTCACAGCGACCTTTTCCTGAGACTCAACAGTTTTTAAACAAACTTAAGTAAAGCAGTGCTGCTCTATATTCAGGTCTGCTGCAGAACGGACATGAGGCTTTGGTACAATGTTCTGAATCTACAGGGTCAGTAATAAATTGAGGAATGTTTTCGAGAGAGTAAGGTTTATAATTTCTGATGTTCTGAACTAGTTCAACATGTTTATTTTAGAGTTTATGCATTTTGAAAACAATGTCTTAATTTTTTCTTTGAATTCACCTGTCTGATGCGCCAGTTTTCAGTTTAAAGGTAGATGCATTAGAATTAAGGTCTTAGTGATCACATTTACATGATGTTAGTAGGAACATGCAGCTGTTTTTAAAGTTGGTGATTGTATTTGCATTAATGAACAATAATGGGATCCCTGCTTCAGGAATCCAAACCTTTCGGTCATCTCATGCATAAAGGCTGCAGGAGGGCAATTATCATTGTACTGTTGTCATAGTTGAGCATTAAACTTGAAGTGAACTTGACTTCAACATTTACATAACTAAGGAGGAAATTAAGCATTTTTTGATTAGATTGCAAAAAAAAAAAAATGTTAGTTGTAATTTTAAATGTGGAAAATGTTACATTTGATCCAGCAAATCTTTTACAATGAAGGATCTGATATGATTTTATGTCTGTTTACACCGACGCTGTAATTTAAGACAAAAACACTAACTTTATGAACTGCTAATGGAAGTACAGCAGAAATATTTTGAAATAAATCTATTTTCATGGTTTCTGGTCATGTTTCTGTAAAACGTTAAGCTAGAGCATACTTTAAAGGAAGGTTTTTATTAAAGCTTGAAAGTTGAGTAAATTATTAGAAGGCATCTTTATCCATCCCATTCTCCAATCTATCACAATTTGCCTCCCCTATAATAAAAAATAAAATCTAATTTTCCAGTTTGGGATCCCCTAGATTGATGAGACTAAATAAGGACCCCTCCCTTACCATGTGACTGTGAGATATTGGCGACATTTTAAATTATCAACATCAGATGGAGGTTTATTTGCTGATGACAAAGATTTAAACTGTTAAGATTGATTTGGGACTAAGATCTGATAAAAAATCTTCAACATGAATCAAGAAGAACTCCACAGTTTGCAGGTCTTAATAAGAATTTTAACAATTGCTCTGCAGGATCTCTGCTAACCACACATGAAGATATTTTTAGAATAGAAAATCCCTTTATTGTCCCACAATGGGGAAATTCACAGCAAAAAGA